TAATCTAGGCATACACACACTGTCCAACGGCAAGTCTAGGCAAGAGAATGGATTCTGGATAAATGTTGTAACTCTTAGGCTGGCCATACACTATACAATTTTCTGTCCAATTTCCTTTAGATTTACCTTCAACTATGTTGTGCAAAGGCCTGCGTGATTGGATACAAGTGAAAGTATTGTTTAGGTTTGACCTCATATTATATGGTTTTTGGTAAATCTAAAGCAAAATTCTCAAGAAAATTGTATAAATGTATGGCCAGCCTTAGTCACCAGGCACCTAATGATATTAGATGATCATCATCCGATCCTGACTTTTTTTTTTTTTTTACCTCCCTGGCGGTATTCCCGAGCAGGGGCAGACTGACAACTCATGGGGCCCCGGGCAATAGGGGATGATGGGGCCCCTGTTTCCTTGCCCAAACTCAAAAAAGCCTATGAAAAAGGTACCAGGGGCATCTCACGGGCCCCCTACTGACCCTGGGCCCTCGGGCAGTGCCCGAGTTTCCAAATGGTCAGTCCGCTCCTGTTCCCGAGTGTAGCTTGGGGTAAAGTTTCAGCACCACAAGCGGCAACCCTGAGCTACACTCGGGAATACCCTGTAGAGTTGCTCCGTGATCTCTTCTGCACTGACCTTGTCCTGCGCTCCCACGATGTCCCTCCTGCAGCGCCCCAGCAATGTCCTCCGGCTGATGCTGGCACCTGTCTTCCGGCTTCCGTTCCCTGCGACGTCAGGACATACGGGGACAGAACTGGCGGGAAATTTAACATTTTTGACATTCACTAAATACACTAAAATCACATAGTAAAACATTACTGTATCAACCCATTTCACATACATTTTGTTCCTAATGCTTTGTCCTGTGCCCTGCCTGCATTTTTACTGTTCTTTCTGCCTGGAAACTGAGAAACGTCCATGGCGTCCAAAAAGCATCCCTTTAGGTCAAAATCAGTTTTAGACCAGCTAGAGAACAGCGATAGTAAATTAGAACTACTTGCAGAATTGAGTGATAATGATTCGTGGAGAAATTCGTCATCAGACACTGAAAACGATTTTGCGGCTTTACTCAGTGATGTGTGAACTTGGCGCTATATTTAAAATTTCAGTGTTTTTGGTTTGATTATATTATTGAATTAAATTTATTAATATTATATTATTATTTTTTATGATTATTTAGAAAATTCTAATTTATGATTTTGTGTTTCAAATTTTAACATACCCGAGATGTTTACTAGACTCTTGTTTGGACAGATTTCAGTGAGTTATTCCTAAAAAATTACAGGCCTACAATAAAAAAATGACATATTTCCATGCAAAAAAATGTACCGCTTTGAGCACAGAAATACTGACATAATCAGACTGCTAGAAAGGCTACTCAAAACAGCAGTACTACAGACATATATATGTAACAGCAACATAGAAAGTTAGGATTCACAAGCTAAGGTAAAGAGATTAAAAACTGTAAACACAAAAATAGCACCAAAAACAGTGTGCTGTTGAGAAGGTGTTCTTAGTGCACAGAAAACACTGACTAAGGAAGAAACAGCCTTCTACCTTCTATATGAATGCATTTTTGATGTAACAGAACCCCTGTGACAGAGAAGTCATTGGTAAGAATAGTGTGGCTAATACAATTAGGTTGTAGAGGATGTGAAAGGTTGCTCACAAGTAATTGAAACAGAATACCCAGCATCCCAAATCTTGTTAAATTTAGCAGAGCAACCTCTGGCTTCATGTTATTCTATAGAGATTAAGGCCATTATTCACCAGTCTTTTTCTAGGCATTAATTTACAAATGTCCTGTGGAAATCCCGTGTAATACTACAGTCTTCTTGGCATAAATTAAAAGTAGCCTCAGAAAGGTCTTTTGAGCATTTCCGAGATCCGTATCACCAAATGCCTCTAATAGGTACCACTTTGGATTACAGAAATTGGGGATTTCAAAATTTTGCTAAATAGATTCTGTAATCTGAGAACAAAATAGTTTAATCATAGGGAAGCTCCAGATCATATGTACTGTGTAAGATCCTCATCAGCCCCCTGACACATATGACAGAGATGTATGTAACTTTTCTACATTTTGAATAGTCTTGTTGGAGTAACTTCCCTAGGTGACAATGCTCTTGTTAGAGACTGCAATTGCCAGGTTCATACTTTGTCACATTAGAGGGAGGCAGTGACGAAATGTCTCCGAGTAGTATGTGCTGACACCTCCTGACACTGGAGCTTACCCAGAAGTGACTCCTGCAAGAGAGAGGTGGTGAGAGATTTTAAATATACCTTGCTGAGGTGGCGGGTTGTTAGGCTTGCCAAAACACAATTAAGATCCATGCACACTAGCTTAAACCCAGGACCCTGCATTTACTATATCTGATCTCCCAGAGTATACAGAACATGGAAGTGCAAATATTTTAGTAAATATAAACTTTTAAATACCTTTTCTCATCAGCAGTTTATAGCAGTCTTGTCACTTCTATCAGTGTTAAGCAGAGCACTGGTTAAAGCTTGTAAGAGGAGTTTTCTTTCTGCTCTAGGAGGATGCAGAACCCCTGACCTTTGTCTGTGCAGTGCCGATTGGCCCTCTGCTGATCACATGCACTCTCTTAAAAAAAAAAAAACCTCTCTAGCAATACACACTAAACTGAGCATGTGCAGAATGGCTACGGTTCAGTCTGTCTTACCAAGAGATAAGACGTGGGCATTTGAACAAGAGGAGGGGCAGAGAAGTCAGGATCAAACAGTGCAGAGAATCAGGATCAAACAGCCTTTTTACACAATGCTGCAGAAGATTTACCCCTTAGGTTCCACAGTGATTATAACAAGCATGCCTGACAGCATATACAGACTGATTTTACTGTTGTGGGTGTAGTAACACTTTAGCAGCAACAACACACTTATTATGTCTGGTAAAGTAATGATTATTATGTCACGTAAAGTAACAATTATGATTACATACAATACATGACACCCAATAAATACCACATCATTTCAGGACAAAATCAAAGCTCCTTCGAGCCTAAGAGTAAAACAAATCTTAACGTCGAAGCACAATTTTGCAACTTTGCGTTAGCAAAACTGTACATATCATCACAACTACTTTGTATATCCAGATGGAATATTGTTTTTTTAAGAACGAATTGGACTTCCATTTGGTGGTAAATAGTAATGGATATCTCCTGATTTTTTTTTTTATTATTATCAAAGAAAAACTGGCCCAAAATATTTTAATCTTTCTTTTTTTTTATGTAGCTGTATATTTCTTGCTACTACCATATCCTAACACACACCAAAGAACAACCCAAAATAATTTTTCCTGCTCCTGACGATCGCAGCGATACCACATATGTGTCTGTTAGATGTTGTTTGTAGAAACAATAGTGCACATTTTGCTATTTTTATCCTGCCATTAACTGACACTGATACAAATTTAAAGAAAAAAAAAAAAACTGACAAAAAAGAAAATATTGACCCTAACCTTTGGCCCTGACCTTTGACCCTGACCTTGATTCAAACACTAACCTTGGCACTGACCTAGATCAAACCTCATTGCTGCATATCAGTGTAGCATCATCAGTGCTTCCTCATTAGTGCCCACCAGTGCTGCCTCATCAGTGCTACCTCATCAGTGCAGCCTATCAGTGCCCATCAGTGCTGCATATACGTGCCACTTGATCAGTGCCCATCAGTGCTGCCTATCAGTGCAGCCTCATCAATGCACATCATTGAAGGATAAAAATTAGCTGTTTCCAAAATGTTATAATAGAAACAAAGAAAACCTTTTTTTTGGCTTTTTTTTGTTTAAAGTGTAAAAAATAAAAAAACCCTAGTGGCGATTAAATATAACACTTAAAGAAAGCTCTATTTGTGTGAAAAAATGATAAACATTTCATATGGGTACAGTGTTGCATAACCGCGTAATTGCCATTCAAAGTGCAACAGCACTGAAAGCTGAAAATTGGCCTGGGCAGGAAGGGGGTAAAAGTGCCTGGTAGGCAAGTTGTTAAGCTCAGCATTTAAAGGCAGAAAAAAACCCTTCTGCTTTGCACTTTTGAGAGCAGTTTTCTGGCAGAAATAAACGCTAAACACTCCTAAGCGCTAGTACAAAAAATGCACATAAATAGCGTTTTCCTCTGCCAAGAGCACTGACATTTTTTTAAGCCAGTGTACATGGATCTTATAGATGCAGCTAGTTATCTCAATGAGATCTGTATCCCCAGACTGCCAACTGGAGGGTGCTTTAAGGGCTTCCATAAAGCTCCATGAAGCTTTTTTTTTGTGTAATAGCTAGCTGAATGTGATGTTCATCGGGTTGGCTTTTGAAAACTAAAAATTCACAAATGCTAATGCATACAGGACCTGGGAGCAAGTGTCCAACTGCAAACGCATACACTATATTGCCAAAAGTATTGGGACACCTGCCTTTCCACACACATGAACTTTAATGGCATTCCAGAAAGCTGTCCACATGGTTTAGAAGTGTATCTATGGGAATGTTTGACCATTGTTCCAGAAGTGCATTTGTGAGGTCAGGCACTGATGTCGGATGAGAAGGCCTGGCTTGCAGTCTCCTCTCTAATTCATCCCAAAGTGTTCTATCAGGTTATGGTCAGGATATTGTACAGGCCAGTGAAGTTCCTCCATCCCAAACTCGCTCATCCATGTCTTTATAGACCTTGTTTTGCGCAATGGTGCTCAGTCATGTTGGAACAGGAAGGGGCCATCCCCAAACTGTTTCCACAAAGTTGGGAGCATGAAATTGTCCAAAATGTCTTGGTATGCTGACGCCTTAAGAGTTCTCTTCGCTGGAACTAAGGGGCCAAGCCCAATTCCTGAAAAACAACCCCACACCTCCCTCCACCAAACTTTACACTTGGCACAATGCAGTCAAGAAAGTACTGTTTTCCTGGCAACCATCAAATCCAGATGGCAACCATCAAATGTACATTGTCTTGCCAGACAGGGAAATGTGATTGGTTACTCCAGAGAACACATCTCCACTTCTCTAGAGTCCAGTGATGGCGTGCTTTACACCACTGCATCCAAAGCATTGCATTGCACTTGGTCATGTAAGGCTTGGATGCAGCTGCTTGGCCATGGAATCCCATTCCATGAAGCTCTCTATGCACTGTTGTTGTGCTAATCTGAAGGCCACACAAAGTTTGGAGGTCTTAAGCTATTGACTCTGTAGACAGTTGGCGACTTCTGTGCACTGTGCGCTTCAGCATGCGATAACCCCACTCTGTCATTTTACATGGCCTACCACTTTGTGGCTGAGTTGCTGTTGTTACCAGTTGCTTCCACTTTGTTATAATACCGCAAACAATTGACCGTGAAATTTTTAGTAGCAAGGAAATTTCACGGATGGACTTATTGCACAGGTGGCAACCTATCACTGTACCATGTTTGAATTCACTGAGCTCCTGAGACCGACCAGTTCTTTCACAAATGTTTGTAGAATCAGTCTGCATGCCTAAGTGCTTGATTTTATACACCTGTGGCCATGGAGGTGATTGGAACACCTGAATCCAATGATTTGGAGGGGTGTCCTAATACTTTTGACAATATAGCGTATGTGTAAGAAAAGATTATTTGGCTGCAAGGTGACTAAGAATATATGTGTTTTAGACCTTTTTAAGAAAAGGGTGACCTTATCAGGTGATCCATGGAATAAATGTCATTAGCAAACCATATATACAAGATCACCATGCCTTGACATTCTGCCTGCACGGTCCTGAAAAATTGGCTATTGTAACATGACCCCGAAATTTGTTCAGTGAATTATCTCCTTGAAAAAAGGAGATGTGATGGTAAAAAAAAACTATTGCTTGCAGAATATTTTAACCGCAGTCAACCTTCTTCTAAACATTAGGGGGCAATTTAACATTATAGGCTGAGAAGCTGGGTGGGGGAGCCACTCAGAAGTTACCTTCATAGTTTGAGCCATTGTTGGACCTCTAGCTCCTATTCAATACTTTCCTCAGTCTGAGGGGAGAGCAGTTGAAAATTGGGTAAACTGCTACTTCAACAGAACTGTCACTGGAAACTCTTCTAGATCTGTTGAATCCAGCCTTTGCAACAGTTGTTGATTCCTGTAATACAACAAGTATGTCACAAGTTGTTTAGTAAACTGCTGATAATTCTGACATGATTAAGACTCATTTTAGTTGGTGTAACATCCCTAGTACCATTTTTGTCTGATAATTTTCTCTTAATTTCCTACTGAAATGGAAAGCGTTCTCAAAAGATGTTCTGCCAGGAAAGCCCAGGAGGAACTTGCATGCTGTGATGTGTAAGATAATTAATGCCAGATGTTACAATTTAATCAAAAAGATAGCTGATCTATATTTACTGTGACAGACATTTTGGTTCTTTTTTATATATACTGTACATATATATATATATATTTCATGAAAATGATTCCATGCCAATCGGAAATGAATGCACATTTCTGGGAAGATATGAAAAATATGTGTTAAAAGGAAAACAATCTTATTACATTACAGCCATTGTTCAGTTTTTAAAAACCCTATGGTGTAGCATTTAGATAATTACATAGCAGTTTTCACGTCCATCTGCTTTGAACTGAATCCTAATAATTATTGATTTAGGACATTGGAGTCCAAAGAATGCATTGGACATAGTTTCACAGTGATTAGGTAAAACATAATGCGTAAGGTCTATCAAGGTCTTCAGTTTACTCTATGTAAGCATTATTGTGCTTGCCGTTGCATACATTTAGGAATAAATATATATACTGTATATATATATATGGTATGTATACAATACTGAATATATACATGAATATACATGAATATACTGAATATATACATATTCTTAAATGTATGAACCAATGAGCACAGTAATGCTTACATAGAGTAAACTGATGACCATGATAGATATTATTACTAAAGCTGGAGAGCGCAAAACCAGGCTTACTTCTGCCTAGAAACCAACCAGCTTCCACGTTTTATTGCCAAAGCTGAGGTTAGAAGCTGATTGGTTTCTATGCAGAAGTGAGCCTGATTTTGCACTCTCCAGCTTTAGTAAATAAACCCCTATGCTTTATGTTCTGCCTCCTGCAGCATGAATCTCCTAGTGAGGGAGGAGCCCTGACCGGTTATGCTGAATCCCTTTTGTGGGTCCACATCCACCTGATTTCACTGAATTTTACACCTGATCTGGCACCCTTTTACTGCTGAGCCAAGCATTAGTTGCATCTTTTCACAGTGGCAGAGTGCCAGCCTGTTTATACATATATTGATAGTATGAAATAGTTTTATTGGGTCTTAGTTGCCCCTTCAACACATATTTCACTATGTATGAGCACTGGGCAATTTTATATTTTCTGTGTTTCTGATTGTTATAAAATCTTGCACTGTTTGCCCACCTTTTTTCTGGTAAAGTCGGCCATACATTTCAAAATAATTTTCCTTCAAAAATCTTTTCTATGAATTTTTTTTCGAATTTCGCACCATTAGTGAGTTACAGATTTTCGTGTGACCATCGAACTTGAGTGATCGGACATGTTTGAAATTTTTTGAAAGACTAACAAATTTCTAATCAATGATGGGAAAATTCTTGGCCACGAAAATTATTTTCTGTAGCAACAGGAGGTGAAATTAAAGGCTTGTTTGGTCGAAATCAATGGTGGCACCATCGGATTACAAAATGCACATTTCCAATTACTAAAGAAAATTTGTTCGGAATTCGACCCATGTATGGCCTGCATAAGCTTATTAGTTGTGAGCAGGGGCGGATTGACAACTCATGGGGCCCCCGGGCAATAGGGGATCATGGGGCCCCTGTGTCCTTGCCCAAACTCAAAAAAGCCTATGAAAAAGGTACCAGGGGCATCTCATGGGGCCCTCAGGCAGTGCCCGAGTTTCCAAATGGTCAGTCTGCCCCTGGTTGTGAGATTAATGTTCTGTGACCACCGGACTGTTGTGCTACCCTCCCATTTCAACAATCTTATTTATTGTTGTTGACTATTGTCATGTTTGTTTTAAATGTGCAGATATCTCTTGAAAACTGGAATACATTTTTATGATAAGATTTTGCTACCTATATAAGCAAAGATTAACAAAAATGTAAAAAAAAAATACAATTTAACAAAAGTTATATTACTGTAACCTCTGTTTCACATAGTCCCCTTGGACTTGGATGTCTTTGTCCCACCAGTACTCCAAGGCTCAGATCCCATTTAAAAAATATATTTCTGGATTTCAACCAGCAAATATAATTTTATTGTTATCAGAATGTGTCTTCATGTCCCCCACAGAGCTTCCTTAAAATGTTTCAACCGCTTCCCATCTGCCCTATAGCAGATATACTGCTACAGGGTGGCACGGGTGTGTAACATCACATATATATACGTGATTTTGTATCTCCGGGTAGGGGGCGCGCACGAACCACACGCGCGTGTCCTACTCACACTGCCATTCGCGGCCACAGCTGTCAATTACCGGGTCCCGGACGGTGATTACTCACCAGCGCCCCGTGATTTCCAGCGATCTCCGATGGGGAGGAGAACTGTTTTGTTTTTCTAACAGTTCTCTCTGTCAGCTCGGGCACACTGCTTTGGATTGCTGTGCACAGCCATCCATAACAGTGTGCTTACAGTGAAGCACACTGACACAGCCCCCCAGTAAAAACACTCCCAGCACACAGTTAACCCTTTGATCGCCCCTCATGTTAACCCCTTCCTGCCCAGTGCCTTTAATACAGTGTCAGTGCTTTTTTTTAGCACTGATCACTGTTTTGGTGTCACTGGGGATGTCAGTGACACCAAGTCAGTTCCCCCCAGTGTCAGAATGCCCGTCGCAATCCCGCTATAAGTCACTGATCGCCGTCATTACTATTAAAAATTCCAGCATCTATACTGCCATTTGTAAACACTAAAACTTTCACACAAACTATTTAATTCACACGTATTAGGATTTTTTTTTAGCAAAGACATGTAGCAGAATACATTTTAATCTAAATTTATGATGACATTTGATTTTTTTTACTGGACATATTTAATAGCAAAAAGTAAAAAATATTGTTTTTTTTTTCTCAAAATTGTCGTTCTTTTTTTTTATAGCGCAAAAAATAAAAACTGCACAGGCAATCAAATACCACCGAAAGAAAGCTGAATTCATGGGAAAAAAGGACGTAAATTTAATTTTGGTGCAGCGTTGCATGACCGTACAATTGTCAGTTAAAGTAACGCAAAAAATTGCCTGGTCAGGAAGGGGGGGTAAATCCTCTGGAGGGCAAGTGGTTAATAAACAAAAGAAATGTCTATATTGGGTTAAACGTTTGGTGGAAATGTTTAGTCACATCACTGTGCCCTGTCCAATAATATTCTATGTACTCACTGTACCCAACACAACTTTATTCACACACGTCTAGACACAGTTAAGATGTTTTTGGTGCTCATGTTGCTGTATGGTGGTCTTTTCTTGTTCATATTATGTTGAAATTAAAAAGCCTGCTTGTAACATTTCAAAGTTATCATCACACTGCGAAATCAACGTCACTCATTATGAAAAAAAGATACCACTGCAAGTCCATCTGCTTTCCTTCCACTGATTACCACCATTTGCTGCATGATTTACAGACTGCTTCTGCAAGCTGGTCACTTGTGGAGAGTTCAGTGAATCATTCTATATCTCCTCTGATTGAACTGTTCTCAAGGGCTGATCTAGTTTGCATGAGCTATTAAAAAGTCACTATTGAAAGGAGGCTGTCACAAGAGATCCATGGAGGCCATCACTGTAGACTTCTCATTTTGCAAGCTTGTCATTATGAGGCTTGGTGGGGGGAAGGTTAAAAAAAAAAAAAAAAATAAAAGAAAAAAAAAAAAAAAAAAAATACTAAAACTGGTGCACTCAGAATGTGGTGCAGCTGTGTACAGTAGCCAGTCAGCTTCCATCATCAGTTTGTTCAAGTAAACTTTGACAATAAAACCTGGAATCTGATTGGTTTATATGCAGAGCTGCACCAGAGTTTGCACCATGCAGTTTTAGTAAACAGCTCCTTTTGACTTCAATAAAGTCTGAGTTATTGTTCCAGAGATAAGTAGTTCTGACACTTTTCTGACACTCATTTGCACCATACTGGGTCTGTGGCTGCAAAATACTTAAGGCAGGCACAACCAAGCAACTAAAATGTTTAGAAGAAAGCCAGTAACGGCAGCCCAATACCGAGTCACTTTAAACCTTTTTCAGCCTGGTAACATTGGGTGGGTTATCAATACACTCTTTTTTTAATTGGTTTTACAGCTTTACATGTGAACCATCATTTAAAATATAAGGTATACAATTAACTAAAAATTGCAATTTCTTTTGTGCAATTAGTGTCTCATTTGATCATGAACTTCTGGTCCCTTTGTTTTCAGTCTAAGGCATGAATGGCAGCCAGTATTACTCATTCAACCCTCAGTGAAGCAGATTGTTGATATTCAATACAGTCTAATTGAAAAGAC